CGCCAATAGCCCGGCGCACAGCCGGGCAGCGAATGTGGCTCATGCTAACTAGCTCAATAGACCGGCCGAGTGATGCGTTGCCCTGTCCGCGTGAGAAAGAGGGCGCGAACGAGCGCGCTGCAGATTAAAGGCGGCGCATCCCCTCCCCGGACTGTAAGAAGGGTCCACTGTATTTCCTCCAGCCGTATACTCAACCTACTCCTGACTTTACTTTGACCGTTGCGCAACGACTTTGAACGGTGACGCGGGGTTTTCACAAGCGAGAAATTAAGATTCGGACGGCTTCTCGGCGAAAGCTTGGTTTGGGGATACGAGACTCGGTTGCGCGACTGCTGCTTGCCTGATTCACCATTACCGGCTGCCTTTGTCTTACCTCCATCATCGACAAACGAACGAGCAATTTGCGAGCACGTATCGAATCAATCACGAGTGCGACTCCTGATCCGCACTTCCCATTCTTACGAACATCTCAAAGGCAGTTTTAAATCAACATGTCGAACCAAGGCTACTACCAAGGCGGGCCTCAGCCTCAGTACCCACAACAAAGGTACGCTTCCCACGACCGTCTACAAGGACTGGCGCTATCGCGCAAATTCGCGCGCACACCCAATCTCCCCTGCAATCGCAAAAGACATCTACGTAGTCGAAGAGTGAACAAGTGCTAACTCCATCACAGCTACGGTCCCCCAGGCGGCGGCTACGGCCAACCCCAACAATACGGCGCTCCACCCCCACAACAACAGATGTACTATGGCCCCCCGCAAGGACAATACCAACAGGCGCCACCACAACCAAAGCAGAAGAAGGACAGAGGATGCTTGGCGGCTTGGTAAGTGGGCGCGATATACTCGAGGGTTGAACTTTGGCTAACGGAAGACTAGCTTGGCGACACTGTGCTGTTGTTTCGTGTGCGAAGAGGGTTGCGAGTGCTGCGCTGATTGCTGCGAGTGTGCGGCGGAGTGCTGTTAGACGGATAATGGGGGGTAGCCGGATGGGCCAGACGGGGTGTTGGTCGGCACTGGTGTTGAGTTGATGGTGCGCATGGGGAATATGCGGTTGGGTTCTGATGGCATGTGCATGAGTTCTTGTCGTTTTCCTTTTGTTTTTGAGTATACCTGACCACTTTTGGTCTTTCTTATCATATTCAATATACGGCTTGTCTGTTCTGTTGAGGCAGGTCCAATTCGAGCACATCTTTTTATTTGTGATGCCAGAAGTTGTTCGCGTCCATGTCTTCCACGAAATTACTTCGCACGACGAGAGATGAGTCCAGGATTTTGTTAGGTGCATGTCCTTCGTAGTCATCGGGAGCTCCAGATCTCATCGCTGGTCGAGGTTCGGTGAATCATGTGCGACAGCGCAAGCACCTTCGTGTTGAAGATTCTAATTTCTTGTAGCCACTCCACCCTCCTCAAAGCCCTGACATCACGTTCTACCCTCTTTCTCTCCACTCGACAACCTTTCTCCCGATCTATGGCCAGAGACTTACCTCTGCGCGAAGATTTGCGCCCTCCACGAAAAACACAAGATCGGATCGTATTAGATTGGGTGAACGCCCAGATGAAACAAACGCTGGAACAAACGCTGAAGAAAAAGCTGCAACAAATGCTGATAAATGGAAGAAGATACTTACCCATTCGGTTTTCTCATTCCTTCTGACTGTAGTCGTACCTTGATGATCGTCTCGTTTGAATGGGTGTTTGACACCAGGAACCTGAGCGTGAAATGGCCAGATGAACCATGTGTCTTCCAATGTCAAACCGGTGTGGTTGATATGCAAGTTCTGCCGGACTTTGGTCGTGAAAGGTCATGTACACTAAATACAGATCTTCGTAGTCAGTGTACATCTCGTAGGCAGTTCATACAAGGACACTTACCGCAAAGTGTTGTGTATCGGCTCCTAACAAAGGCCTCGTCCCCCAACATCCCCAACAAACTCTTGAAGAGCGGCTGGCTGCATAAGAAGCCGCCACAATACACCGAACGCCCTCAATAGTGCAGGTAGACCAAAGAGTTGGCGGACCCACTGTACCAGTCGACCTCAATTCCATCACCCTCCTTCTTCTTAACCTGGTCAACGAACCTCTGCTTAGTGTCGTTGAGAGGCTCCCTGGTAGGTACTGTGTGAAACCAAGTGCTAGTAACGATACGTTGGCTCATCTCAGCCATCTTGGTGTGCAGATTTACTTTGGCAATACCCGGGAACGTCTGTCGGAGAAGTTTGCGGAAACCGTCCTTGTAAAGGCTGTAGTACCCGAATGGCATGTCCACTGAGACGATGAGACGTCTCTGGCCGAGTGGGCGGCCCAGGATCCATCGGTCGCATGTGTCCAGATTATCGAATCCGAAGTTGTTCAAGCTGTAGACCATTGCCGATGACTCAACGTACATTTGGCGGCATACTTTGGGGACCGCAAAAGTGGGTTGGACAAAGCTGGACGAAGTATTCGGGCCTTTGGTCAGAGGGTGCGTAACATGCGTGAGCCTGATATCCCATCTTCGAACGCAGGAGTAATCATGGATGTCGACTTGGTGATAGCCAACAGCGTACGCCCAGATCTTGTTGCGGATTTCTGCCGGAAGATTGAGAAGCGGAGACTGGATGGAGTTGGCTTTGGCGCTGTTGTTCGTTAGCTTTCATAAGAGGTATATTGTGGAGTCGCATCTACATCTTCATCAATTCTGAGCGAGCAGGAATCTCGGCTTTCATCAACCCGTTCATGTACCTGCGACCAGGTTGTTTGGGCTTGCGGACTGTGGGACCTTTCTTCTTGACGACCTTTGTACGCTTCGAGGAGATTGTGTGATCTTTCGGCCCCGCAGAGCGAGCGGGCAGTTCGGGTGAGCCCATACTTGAGGCTCAATATGGTCTTGTTGCGTGTGAAGAGAACGTGTGGTTGAAGGAGAGCAGACTCAAGAGAGCTCGATAACTGCAAGATCGGAGACGTCCGCATAATGGGCGATGAAATGAACGATGAAAGATGAGATGTGTGCGAAGATTGATCGAGATGAATTATCTGCTTTGAGACTGGTGAAGCCCGTATGCTGACCGATATGAAAAGTGATGGTGAGAGGAGCGAAGGGCTACCGGTACGGGTAACTAACGCTTATCTAGGAACCTCACGGCATCTCGAAGGTATCTGGCACGGTGATTGCCAGTAACACGACTACCTAATTTTACATCAGGGAATAATGCGAGTCACGCGGCGTGCATATAGTGTCGACATCCTCATCTGCGCCCTGTGAATGTAACGGACACCACGACTCTTCGCGCCAAGGTCAGTGAAAGACAGTTCATCCATCGTGCCGTGAAACTCACTGCAATAAAGTCCTTGGGTACCCAAGCGGGATGTCATGCAGGGCTTGAGATTGGAGAACCATAATTGAGCGATTGAAAAGACTTTGGTGGAGGCATCTTCAGATGTAGTCTAGCCATTTCTGTCTCAAGATGACGTCAAAGAACTTACTTTCTCTCACCTCCGCATCTGGGCAGAATCTGGCCATGTCCATTAAATACAGTAACGACAAATACGTTGTGCTATAACCACATCTCATTTGTAACCCCCTTTCGGCAGTCATCGCCGTATCCAATTCTTTCAGACCTCCTGGAGGATATTTGTCCCAGCCACACCGATATTTATGTACTCAGTAACGACAATCTTCAGGCCACTCCTCTCCCTTTGCAACAGTACTTTAGTCCTCTCCTTAAGGTCCTGCTCAATCTGGTCGGCCGACCAACCATTCATTTCGCTAGACATCCGGGCATTCCACAGGTCGACGTAAAGCACTTCAAGGTGTGGGAATAGGTCTGTATATCTGCAGGACGACTGCTCGAAATATGCACGTTCGGAAAATATTGGGGTCTTTAGCACCTTGATTTGCCGTAACTGTATGGGGAGGCGGCTTGATGTCCAGATTCTCAGGGCACTCATTGACGTGAAGGCGAAGGAGTTCAGGGCGTACGGTAACAAACAAGTCTCGTCGTACATCTGCCTGCAGACAAGCGGTAGTAACGGGTACGATCCCGCTTCTTTATCTTTTACAAGCGCCTTGTTCAGTCCCCCGTAGCAGACTTTCGATCTCAAGATGAAATCCGCAGTCAGGCTGTGAACAACACGATCGTGTATCCGCAGACATGGCTTCTGCAGGACCATGGTGAAGACCATATTCCGCAGTTCTGCCGGCAAACGAAGAAGTGGCGACGCGCTCCTGTTTCTCGCAGCACTTCTGTGAGTTAGTTTGTGTCACCGCGGGCGCATCGTTCGTAGCTCACATAGGGCAGACAGCCAATTTGCTTGTGTTGAGGAGACCATGTTCTGTGAGCCCCAGCCGTACATGGCTCTCCACTGTGTCGCCCTCTTTACAGAGGCGCATAATGGGCGGATGTGGACTCATAACGGGCGTGGTTGTGTCGGAAAACGGGGAGAGGGGTGTACCTGGGTAGAAGCTCCGCAAAGAGGCTACGCCGGACGCTGAGAGTGCTACGGGTTTAGGCGAGTAGGAAGCGACCCATAGATGTGAGTGTCAGGAAGGCACGCTAACCACACGCTAGGCCTTTACACTCTGGCGTATTTTCTCCGCTCGTATTTGGGTAGCTATTTGCAGTGAAGCCATCGTCCAATACAGTCGTGATAGCACAAGGCATTGCCAAAGTTCTGGTATTAAGAAGATCCTCCGCCTTCAGCCATTAGCGATTGCGCAAGGTACAGGTGACATATACTAATGTGCCCGATATTCCAAGGGCGTAGTCGCAGCCGAACTCGTAGGTACACAATACACCACCTAACGGTTCCCTGCTGCTGGGTCTCGTTACCCTAGGTGCTCGATGACTGCCCAGGTGCTACATCAGTGAAGCCTAAAGCACGTGCGAGGGGTTAAGTCAGCCGTTGCCCAGGTGACCCACACTGGTCCACTGCGCCTGCCTTGAGCTGAAGGCCTGCTCAAGCTTTTACTCGCTCTTTCCCACACTCACGTCAACGATACAAGTTCCCAACATCATCATGGTTCGCCGCTCTGTTCGCCTTGCGAAACCCGCAGACCAACCCCAGGTTTTCCATGATCTAGATACCGCCGCGGTCAGCGCCAAAAGCCAGAAACTCGAAGAAGCCGCGCGTGCGCGAAAGAAGCGGCGACTAGAGTATGGCGAGTCCACCTCTTCGGCGGATACCATGATCAGGGACGCTATGGCTGGGTCAGATGATCTTCGAGACGGCCACAAACCCGCCCTCTATCGGGGCAGTCAGCTCAACGCACAACTCTCGGCGGATGATCCTCGCAGTGCGATGTATGTATGCAATTCACGTAGAGCTCCTCCTTAGCTAATGAGATCGCAGCGTGGAACGTAATAGCTTGCAGTCTCCTCTGCTATCTCTCCCAGCAGAAGTCCGTTGCGTCATCTTCGAATATGCTCTTGGTCACCAACACGTACACATCCTTACTGACGACTACGACACGAACATCTCTGTGGATCTTCCCGGTCCAGCTCGTTTCGGCGTGGATCCGCCTCATAGACGCGAAGCGATATCCCAGGTACAAGCGCGGCAGTTCCACAACTGCGTCTTTCCAATTGACTGGCAGTCCTATTATCGTACAAAGCCGTACAAATCTCGTCCATATCTTGTGTCTCCTAATATGCGGCATCAGGCGCAGCAGCAGCGATTTGAACACGAACGAGTGATCACCGCGACCAACGATCGCATGGCGCTATTCCAAGCCGTCTGTCGACAAATCTATCATGAGACTCGGTTCATTCCGTACGAGATGAACGAGTTCTCCTTCCAGGACGAGATGACGATGAAAGATTGGTTCGGCAATAGAGCGGCTGCTCAAAAGCGAGTTATCAATACGGTGTGGTTTGACCAGGAATGGCAGCGCAGTTACGCACTCTTCCCCTGCGCATACCTAGGCGCCCTTATTCATATTGGAAAGATCCACGGTGTCAAGAAAGTGTACGTGTCTGTGGCGGCTGTCGAACATTTGTGGTCTACGCAAAATCGTGGAAACGGTTCGAAGGCCAGATTCGCGGAAAATGTCCGTTCCCTTTTCAGCAGACGAGACGAGCTTCAGATAGAATTTGTCAAGTAGATTAAGCTAGTGTGATATGGTCACGCGTGCTTTCACGGTACGCACCTCATCTACATGCTTGGCTCAATATGAGTGTGCATGATATTAATCTATATGCATCTCGCCTGTGCATTCTCAGTTGCCGAGAACACTGTAAAGATCTTAGTGCACATTCAAGAAACTATGCGTGACCAGATAGACTTGCTATATATATCATTCGGGTTGCTACGGTGCTTTGGGTGGGTGCTCACAGAATAACTTCTCGACTGGACAGCCTTAAATGCATCTCCTACTAGCCCTCTCCGCCCTCGCTGCGACGGCGCAAGCTCATTGCAAGTTCACCACAGTGTAGTCAGAAGTGCTGAACTGACTCTTAAAAGACCGCTTCTCCAAGCTCATCCTGAACGGCGTACCCGAATCGGCGGAATGGACTTCAATCCGACAAACGAAGAACTACCAAACCAACTCGGGTGTTACGTCCGTCACTAGTCCTGACATGCGCTGTTTCCAGAACCGTCCTGGAACGGGTACTGCCGTTGTCGCTGCTGGTGATAACCTCGGCTTCGTCGCTGAGACATCGATCACGCACTTCGGACCAGTGCAGTTCTATATGGCGAAAGTGCCAGATAGTGCGAATGTCAATACGTGGGAGCCGGCGGGTAACGTTTGGTTCAAGGCGGCGAGTATAAGCGCGGTGGGAAGTCCGTTGACGAGTGGGGAGAGCACTTGGCCTGCTTATGGTACGTCTTCATCTCCCGTCCTGGTGGCTTCCTTCCGCCTTCATTTGCTAACCCTACGGCAGGGAAGTCGCAAGTACAGTTCCAGGTCCCTAAGAACGTGCCGAGTGGAAAGTATCTTGTTCGTGTAGAATCCATCGCCCTCCACCAAGCTCAGTCAGTCGGTGGCGCGCAGATGTATCTGTCTTGTGCGCAAGTCGAGATTACCGGCGGTGGTAGTGGACAGCCTGGGCCTCTGGTTGCGTTCCCTGGAGCATACAATGCAAACGATCCTGGCCTGAGGTGGTCGTACTATCCCATCGCTACGAGCTACACTGCGCCTGGACCTGCTGTGTGGCAAGGTAACTGAGTTGCTCCGGAACTGGTGGAAACGATGGGTTGCGCCGGCGATGTCGATGCGGAAGGTGTGAGAACATATGTTGTGAGATCCTCCCTTTCAGCAAGATCTTTCCTCCATGAGTGGCATTCTGCCTGAACCTCTTCTTTTCTCGAGCCTTTTGAGTTTGTCATGCCGTACATTCTTTTCATACCAGATATCGCTCCTGTCTCCGCTTCTCTGCCTCCTCTTTCTTAGCCAGCACAAAGGCAACCTCAGACCCAATAGCAACTACAACTGTTGCTGCAATGCCAATGCCAGTTCCAATAGCCGCAAAGCCCAGAATGGTAAAACACGTGAACCCTGTGAAGATGGTGAGGTACATGACACGAAAGAAAAGTAAGAAGAGGCCGTCGGGTCTGCGCTTCATCGCGTGTGAGTGAGACGACTTTCGATGCCTCAGGGCGTTCAAGATATGATACTTCTGAGGTGCTGCTATTTTGATCGTCTCGAGGCTGGGCTTCCGTTTTGGGATACGAGGTGATGTTTGATGCTGATCTTAGCTGGGCAGCACGGCCATTGAATTGTGGGGATGCGATTCCGCGCCAACCGAGCGATTGTGCACACGAAGGGAATAGCATCGTACCACAACGACCAAGTTGTTGATAACGCCCTATGACGAGGTGAAGCGCAGTCATCGCGGGGGCGTCAAAGCCACGTGACATGGCGTTCAGCAGCTTGCAGTGGCCGCGTCAGCTTGTCGACAATTGGCCCACGAGGGCGTGTCCTCATGCCAATACTAGGCCGGATGAGCGTGCCATCCTGCTACCTATCTGTTTATAGCAGTGGCTATGCAGGCGAGGGGCCCGTTCAGGAAGAACAGACATGATGAAAAGACCCCTGAGGATTTTAGACCGGCCATGGACAGTGAGGGTACAATGCGCTGAACAGTGCGAATCGAATCGGAGATGAAGTTTCAATGCTTACGGCATGAGAATTGAGAAGCTTAGTTGCTCGCAGACAACTGCTCGTGGATGTCGGTTTGCTAGAAGACATTGCGGCGGGCACAAGCGCGTTCGCTGACGTAATCGCTCTCCGAATCCGCCAGCAACCTCACAGGTTCACAGGCTGTAGGGCGCATACACTAGAGGAGTATGTCAGATGCATGGCCATGTGTATCATACGTGTAATGGCTGGTGAAGGACACGAGGAACTTTATGACTGCAAAAACATGCCATAATTGAGCAGCCGGCACTTTCAGAGCGCGTCTCCGCACGTGTCGACGCGTTTGTCTTGGCGCGTGTTGAGCCACTCGGTCGCCACCGGTTCACTCGCACATTGCACAGCACACGAGCACCACAACCCTACTCAGCCATGCGCAACTACTTCTTCAATGTTTAGAAATCCTCGAGAAAACCGCTCTTTGCCCGAATCGTCCCGATTGACACCCTCTACCGGCCGGGCTCCATCGCCACCCCGCTCATCGTCTCGAGTGGCCGACATGGCTGCCAAAACCGCAACGAAGAAGGCTGCGCCCAAGCCGAGCACGAAAGCGCCCCCACCAAAGAAAACCAGCGTCCAGACCACTTTGACGCCAGCCGACTTTGCTAAGAAGTCGCCTGCTGGCAATGGCAAGAAGCAGAAGCCGACCGGTACTCCGAACGGCAACATCATGGCATTCTTCAAGAAAGCCGAGGAGATCAATAGCCGTATATTCCTACAAGAACGAGGGTCAAATCCAACCATAGTGCTTGACGGCGACGAGGACGACGTGGGCTGGAGCGACGAGAAGAGCAATGGCGTCATGACTACAGACAACAGTGATGAGCGGTACAACGAGAATGGGGGGAGCAACAAGAGGCGCAAAGTCAGCGAAGAGGCGGTAGCGCCTGTGCCGGCCTGTTCACCACCCCCGCCGGCTGATGTTGAGAGCAATGCTCTGGATGCATTGGCTGCCGACGTTTCTAAGCAAGCGCCCAAACTGCGGAAGAAGTCTGGACCCTTCGTGGACGACTCAGACTCCGAAGACGACGAAGTGGAAATGCCTGCTACAACTCCAGGTATGACCATACGAAGCCATAATCAGGAATCGCCAATGACTAAACCAACGGAGGACCTGTTACCCCCGGATAGTGCCGAACTCTCCAAATACCACGATACCACACCCATAAAGTCCGAGTCGACATCGCAACACGGGGGCGAAGAGTTGGAGGAATACGAGGATCTGGAAGACGACGATCTGCTCGAAGGCGAAGAATACGATGAAAGGCGATGGATGAAGGAACAACAGAAGCTCGAGATGGAAGAGGCAGGCTTTGAGGGCGACCCGGACGATTTCGACGCGCCACCTCTATTCCCTGAAGGCGATGATATCGAAGTCAAACACGAAGAGCCACGTATCAATGATATACCTTCCTGTCCGATATGCGGCAACAATCTTCCAGGCCTGTCAGAACAAGACGTATCCGTACACGTCAATGCTTGCCTAGACGGCAATCCACTCCCTTTACCTGTAGTGAAGTCTGAGGAGAGCAAGCCGACCATGACGAGTAAGGCGAAAGTTTTCAAAAAGCCGGACAGGCCAGCTAAACCCGGTCAAGCCAACCCGTTTCAGCTCGCGAAGCCCAGCGCTCAGCCAAGTTCAGCCTTTTCAAAGCTTATGGCCGGCCATGCTGAGGATGCTGCTTGGGCATCAGCTGCAGCCGAGAACAACAAGTCTCGCGGCAAGCCTGCATATCAACGCACCTGCCCGTTCTACAAGATTATGCCTGGCTTGTTCATCGCTGTTGACGCATTCCGCTATGGGGCCGTCAAAGGCCAAAACGCCTACTTCCTGAGTCATTTCCACAGCGATCACTATATCGGACTTACTTCCTCGTGGAAGCATGGACCGATATACTGTAGCAAAGTCACTGGCAACTTGGTACGACAACAGCTTCGTGTGGACCCCAAGTGGGTGGTCGATCTGGATTTTGAGAAAAAGACAGAAGTACCCGGAACGGAAGGCGTCCACGTCACAATGATCTCTGCGAATCATTGCCCTGGCAGCTCTCTGTTCTTGTTCGAAAAGGAACTCAGCAAGGGCAAGAACCCGAAGCTACAACGAGTGCTACACTGCGGAGACTTCCGTGCATGTCAAGCGCACATCGAACACCCGCTATTGCGCCCAGACGTCCTCGATGCTGTGAGTGGAAAGAATCGGCAGCAAAAGCTAGACGCTTGCTACCTTGACACCACCTACCTGAACCCCAAATACGCTTTTCCGCCTCAGAAGCAGGTCATCCAAGCTTGCGCGGACATGTGCGTAAGTCTCAGCAAAGTTCGCGCGGACGACTCCGATGGATGGGAGCAGATGAAGCGAGACCGCGCAGGCCAAGGCATGGTCAAGTTCGTTCAGAAAGACTCCAATACTGACGTTACCGGCGAGCCCAAAAGCCCTGCACGAGGCCGACTTCTGGTTGTGGTAGGCACATACAGCATCGGTAAGGAGCGCATTTGCACTGGGATTGCGAAGGCCCTGGGAAGCAAGATCTTCGCGCCTGCCAACAAACAGCGCATTTGCAAAGCGCTTGAGGACCCTGAACTGGATGCACTACTTACGACAGATCCTCGGGCAGCTCAAGTACACATGACGCCGTTGTTTGAGATCCGCGCGGAGACATTGGACGACTACCTGCGCGATTATGCCGACACTTTTACACGCGTTGTCGGCTTTAGACCCTCGGGCTGGAACTATCGTCCACCAAAGGGTCGCTTTACCGAGTCACCCCAAGTACAGACCGTCTTGCATTCCGACAATTGGAGAAGTACCTTCTCTATGAAAGAACTGACGCCGCAAGCTGGGAGTGGAAGTCGGGCAAGCTGCTTCGGTGTGCCGTACAGTGAGCATAGCAGCTTCAGAGAGCTGACTATGTTTTGCTGCGCTTTGCGCATCGACAAGATCATCCCGACAGTCAACGTGGGCAGCGCAAAGAGCAGAGAGAAGATGAAGGCCTGGTGTGACAGATGGGCGGCGGACAAGAAAAAGAACGGGCTGTTTAAACTGGGTGAGGACGGGGAGGGTTGGTCATAGTGAGATTTGATTGGCATGCGCATTGCAATAGTGGGCCCAAGTCTACGATTTGGTAGCGATTCTACCAACCTTGGCTTCATGCCAATGCCAATGATCTTTCAACATGACTCAGTCTCACTACATATTAATATTGGTTCTCTAGCATCTACTCGACACACTCATCTACGATATCCCCAAGTTCGCTTCCGCCATGTCGCCAATCATCCGCCTCCTCGTCATTTCCGATACTCACTCCACCTGGCCCTACACCCCAGACTGCCCTGCACCTCCATGCGACATCCTCATCCACTGTGGTGATCTCACTCAAGTCGGCGGCCTTCCTGCATACAGGAAGGCTATGCAAGACATTCAGACCGTCGACGCAGAGCTCAAACTCGTCATCGCCGGAAACCATGACCTCGATCTCGATGAAGAGTGGGTGCGCAAGAACGCTGAAGATCAAGAAGAGGAAGAAGATATAGAGGACAGTAGGAAATGTGTCAGTTTCATGAAGTCGCACGAGAAAGAGGGTGTATACTACCTGGAAGAAGGTAGACATGAGTTCAAGCTGAAGGATGGGAGAAGCTTCAGTGTCTGGGCGAGTCCGTATACTCCGGAGTTTAATGGGTATGCATTTGCGTACGGAAAAGACGAAGATCGATTCAGCAACATACCCGAAGATATCGATATCTTGATGACGCATGGACCGCCTTCATTCACTGACGAACTCGGCTACGGTCTCGATGTCAATGTGAAAGGAGAAAGCTGCGGATGCAAAATGCTAGGCGATTCAGTGAAGAGAGTGAAGCCAAGATTGCATTGCTTTGGGCATGTGCACGAAGGGAGAGGCGCTGTGAAGATGCAGTGGTCTGAGATGGGGAATGGGAATGAAAGAGTGAAGATGCTGCCCGATGATGGGAGAGTTCTTAGCATCAGTAAAGAACTGGAAAGGACCAGATCTGTGCTAGTGAACGCGGCGGTATGGGGTGAAACAAAAGGTTGGACTATCGACCTCGACATATAAAATTCCCATGGCTTCCACCATACCCGAACAACTCCTGCCACCGCAACCAACACGAAGATGTATCAATCAATGGCCAGTCCCTACTCAGACAGTACCAGCGCACACGAGACTCACGGACCCGCCGACCGCCTCGAGCATCTCGTACACACCCACGGAGTCGACCTTGTTCGCCACTCCCCAATCTTCAAACTCCAAAGGCGATTCGGACTTCCATACGCAGCTCTTCTTGTATGCCTTGCACTCATCGTGTCGGTCTACGTCGACGTAACATTCGGCTACGGCGTATACTCCTACGGCTTCTTGGGCAACAAAGCAGCCGATAATGTCATGGTTTTTCTGTTGATCGTGGTGGTCGCTTTTCTGTGGGTGATGGCTCGCATCTTCTGGGTAACGAACTCGGAGAGGGAAGTCTCGGGACTAAGGAGGCATTCGTATATGTTGGGTAGCCAGCATGTTGCGAGGAGAGATGAGGGCGCGGATAGAGAGGTGATTGTCGTGGAGAGGCAGAATATGGCTTGAGTTTCTCACGTGCTGTGCCAGATGCCACCTATACCCATGCTATCTTTCGAAGGCATGGATTTTCTATAAAATGGAATTGAGATCTTAATACTTTTCATTGACTAACTTCGCATGTGGATGACGGCATGGAAGCCACTTCACCATCCGCGCACCTTTCACGGAGCCACTCCGAAATACGATCAAACTTTTCAGCATCGCCAGTTTTCCATTTCCGTTCATTTATCAGTGTCTGACCGTCCTTCAGCAGATCTAAGCCAGTAGCGCTCCAGTGCATCTTTGAACGAAGGAGGGTGCAGTAGAACCCTTTTCGCAAGGTTTTCTGGAAACTCATCCAGTGACATGTTGCCTAGAAGTTTTGACTTGTAGTCCTTCCATAGAGACTCTGCCCCATAAAAGTGCTCAATCTCAAGTGTCTCCACGTTCAGATTGCGCACGGACTCCAACGCAGAGCGATATTTCTGATCTGGTGGGTTCTCGAACGATATGCACCGCGCGTGCTGCCCGTAACATTGTAGAAATGAGTGCAAATTTTTCGCATTCATTGGAGTTCTCCTCACAGTAAGTTTTTCGAGAACAGGTGTGTCAGAAGCTGAAGGAAGCGGGACGATCGACCGAGTATTGGTGAATTCTTCATAATGGCCATGATCGATAACCAACGAGCGAAGGCGCGGAAAGAGGCTTCTCGTAATTGACAGTCTGGCCTTCTCCTCATATGATGGTGTTTGGAAGAAGGGGGAGTACATGTCCTTCAGAACGAGTGTTTCGACCTTTTGACTGGCTCTCGCGAAGATGGCATAGGGGACTTTGGTGAGGAACGCGTGATGTTCATCGAGATCTACGGCCAGGGTCATCGTGCGGACTGTGATATTCGATGCTACCATGGCATGAATGAGCATCTGAAGGCCAAGATGAGCCGCATCACCAGCATCCCCCATATCCTCTTCTTCGCGGTAGCGTGAGATCTTTGGAAACTTTCGGAACAGGTTATGATAGCGTCCGGGTTGGGTATGAGGCTCGTGGTAGAAACCGATATGGTCCATGTTGTTGAAGCAGTACAGAGCCTTGGCTAAGACCTCTTGAAGGGCCCTCGTATCGGCCTCCTGGCTGACACTCAGAGCAAAGTCACTACCCGTCATTGGGGATTCGTCGTCCCTGCACTTCCAAATACCAGGATACCAACAGCTTTCAGCCTGTTTAATCTGGGCCAGGTCCGAGGATGAGTCATGGCGTAGCCGAACCCACTCTGCCTCCTCCAATTGCGTTGGATTTTCCTCCCAATCCCAATCAAGTGGGTAATCCGCGGGCGCTTCATCGCAAGCTATGATGAGTTTTGTAACCCAAGGAGCCAGATGCTCGCACGTAGACGCAGCGGTGAGGTTGGATATACTTTGACGCGATCTCAGATCGAATATTGTTTCGCACAGGTAAGCACCGAAAGCCTTCCATGAACAATTACGGAAGCGACGGCTCGTGAGGCGGAATGCGAGTGAACACGGATGCTCCTCTTCCTGATCGCATCGATAGACAAAAGATCCCCAGAGTTCGTCTTCGGTGACTGGCGGAACAGCATGCTTCGCACCTTCCAACAGTATGCACTCCAGTAATTCGGTGGGCAGCTTCTCGATGGGCGAAGGATCTGCCAAGGGCAGAGTTGCTGGAACCATGGAGGGTATTGTGCTTGTCGTGTTGCTTGTGGGGTTTAGACGGTCGAACTTGGTTTAAAGACCAGAAGGCTAAATGTCAGGGCAGGTGAGAGAATAAGCGGGTCAACTAGGCATCTGCGCAAGGACGTGTGAACAACCCTAGAAAGGAAAGTGCACGTATACCCTGACGTCATACTCGAGACTAGGTGAGACTGTACTTCTACGTCAACTTAGAAGAAAACTGAACAGGCCTGCAGCCTACATTAACATAAAAGCCTACAAGATAGGTAACGTAGCGTTGATGTAGGCCCTAGACCTGTTCAGTTTTTTCTTGTATAAGGTGCTCTAGGGCTGTTTTTATAATTGACGAAAGATCTTGGTAGATACTTGAAGAGATTGACCACTACTCCCAGGAAAAGCCTCACCCGGTAGCACTGGTTGGAGCTGCTGTCGCATTGAGCTCTACAACCGTTACCACCGACTTCTTCTCCGTCTTTAACTTATCCTGTATAGCCTGATAGTTCCGGCTCATGGCATTCCTCGTAAACTCCTCACCAGTCACCATTGGATACTTCTTCAGTGGACCCTGAATCTTGGCGTCTTTGCACGGCTGATTGAAGAAGGCGATGCTGTAGCGCTCGCCGTAGAAGTCATCAGGCTCACATGGAGCCTTGACACGATGGAATGTCGACTTGAAGCGGTCGTCAGACCACGACATTAGGAGGTCACCGACATTGCAGACTGTGGTGCATGAGTAAATGTTTCAGGTCGACATAGCACATCAACATACCGATTGCGTTCTTGTCTGCGTCCGGCTCGACCTTGGTCCACGCATCCCCGTATCCGAACGAAGTGGATACTTCCCGCCCCGGACAGATCTCAAGACCAGACTGCCCTGCTTTCTGGAACAGCAGAGTCAAGAAGTCCCAGTCGGCGTGTGCGCCCGCTCGATGATGCACCTCCCCTGTTGGATTTGACACCTGTGGAGTCTCAAAGTAATGCAGTAATCGGCAGACAGTCTGAGACTCTGGTCGGCTGACATCGTGAGCTTTGACGAAGTAATCTTCCTCGAAGTTCAGCCCTCGCGCGAAGCACCTCATGAGCCTCTCACTAACTGCTTGTACTCTGTGCATGAACTCCAAAGCCTCTGCTCGGAATCCCGGAAGGGTCTGGTCACTCAGCCATCGACCTATCCAACGATCAGCACGGCCATACACACAAGACGAATGAAACCAGCTCACCGTTCATGCCTTCGCCAAATTGCATTTGATAAGACTCTTTGCGGTCGACTGCACCAGTGGATGGCCGGATTTGAGCATTCTTCTCCCATCCAGCGTTGTGTTGAGGGGAGAATGGCACTTGCGATTTCACGGGATCGGGCTGATTGAAGAAACGCGCTGACTGATTGAAGATGCCGTCGACAGCGTCGCGTATTATGCCGTGGTCCACGATGCAGAAGAAGCCGTGGTTCTCAGCAGCATCGACAAGTTCCTGTGTAATCACATCGATGCGCGCATCGAAGTCACGGAGGGAGATTGTCGGCACAGGGCGATCAACATATTTCGTCGGTGCCATAATGAGAGGGTTGATATTCGAGCTGATTGACTGGTGAGTTTGATATATGACCGTAGTGCTTTGAGGGCAAACTGTACCTATTCTTATGTTCGGTCATCTTTGCTTCTACGCATGTAGTGTCGCAATATGCGTTCAGGCGTGCCAAAGCCGACGCGGCCAGGGCGGCCGCTCACATCGGCCGTCATCACCAACACGTGTGTCGTGCTGCTTAGATAGGCACCCGTAGCCTGCGAGACGGTGGTCGCGGTCGAGATGATGTGGGGCCGAGGCGAGATTGTGGAAGGTTCCGCGTGGTCGGCCGCACCCTGTTCATCTTCCTTCCCCACCGCAACTGCACGCCGATAGCCAACTGATAGCCAGCGCGCCTTGCCAATTCCCGGGAACGCGATGCTGAGAGAGACGGTCTCATTGCATCGGGATGTCCTCGATCGCGACACCTAGTCCACGACCGACACGGTCAACCTTACCATGGACGACAGCAGCACCTCGAAAGGGCCGAGACCCCGTCTGACATGTACAGAGTGCTATAGAAGGAAGATCAAATGTGATAAGAGTGTGCCTTGCAGCACATGCATTCGAAGGTTAGCTCCTCCGTTTTCATGGCAGTCTAGTATCCGCGAGTCTTCGACAAAGACTGAGCCTGCGCGACTGTGGAATGCTTTTCGCTGGGAACCAGAGCTTCTTGGTACTGCGCAAGCTGCCCGAACCATCTCATGCTAAGTAAAGCAGGGGATATGCAAGCTTCTGTACGAGAGAAGACGCGGCTGTGACATCCTCAGTACCACCACCACCCGCCTACCAAGCTCAAGGTGCAGCGACAGCACCTGACGATCTAGTGCGCGCTCTACTCGACCGCGTAAGTCAGCTTGAAGCCAAGCTACAGGAACAATGTGATATGGCCTCGAGCGAAGCACCCTTGCCTCTGGAAATCTCTGATACGCCAGCGAGTCCAGTTCATAATGCAGCGACCACTTCACCTCTCAACAATAACGCGTCACAATATACGGACACTGACGATGCAGCTACCGTGTTGGAGTTTCTAGCATGGGGCCGTAAGAAAGACATTGACTACGGGACATCACCAGAGCAGAACAGCGGGCCACGGCGACTGAGTATCAGAGATGAGGATGAAGCGGTTGCATCCAGTATCCTGTATGAAACCAGCAAAGATGCACGGCTTGACGTACTTGAAGCGCTTCTTCCGAACAAGACTCATATCGTCCAGCTTGTGGAGTACCATAGTACCACCATCCTATGGTACCATGGGTCTTACTCCTCAGCAATATTCAAGGACGACCTGGATATCTTTCTTGGAGACTACGAAGGCGACGTCCGGCACCAAGGCTTGAATCTGCAATGGCTTAGTTTACTGTTCGCCATCATAACAGGCAGTATCACATGTGCGCCGCCATCTGTATATCCGTCTTGGGGTTTCTCATCAGAAGAGAGGAAGGTCTTGTCACAAAGATGGTACGAAGCGAGTGTGACGTGTCTCGAAATCGCTGGCTACATCGAGACTCATACCATCTACTCTGTTCAAGCCATTGCAACGTTGACCATTGCGGCTCATATCCTTGGCAAGTCGAACAGCCAGTCGATTCTGCTTGCCTCAGCTGGTCCTATTGCACAGAGTCTTGGGTTGCACCGACTTGGACCAGAGGGCGCAGCTGCAGCCACCTCGAAGGAGCAGCTACGCCAGCGTGAAGCCGGTCGACGAGTCTTCAATCAGCTTTGCACACAAGATTGGTTCCAGATTCCGTTCTCCGAATCATATACGCTAAACCCTCGCTTCTTTACGACTGCGAAGCCGCTGAACTGCAATGACGACGACATGATACCCTGTCCATTGAGCGTACCAACCCAAGCGAGCTACTGCAACTATCGCTATGATATCGCAGCGCTTATGCCGCAACTCCTAGATGCGATAACAGGCTGTAACACGCTTTTCACGAAGTATGAACAGGTGCTACATTACGACGAGAAGATGCGCAAGCTTGCGACTGCATGTATACCTACATTCCTATCAACGAATGCGCCGGTGGCGACCGATTGGCCTATCTATGTTGGCTGGGCTAGACGCTCGTTGGCTATATGTGCTTCACACAAGATCATCATGATACATCGGAAATTCATCGGCCTTTCCTTTACGAACTCCGCTTTTTCCTTCACGCGACGTACCTGTATTGCAGCTTCCAAGACCATATTGAAAGAAGCGCTATCGGGCAGCGATGAGCAGGGCCCGATACTATGGATCGAGCAAGCCTTCTCAGTAGCAGCGGGGATCATTCTCAGTCTCGATGCTTTTCATCGATCGGCCAGTGACAGGGAGTTCGACGAACATACCAGACTTGTTGCTGACGCAATCGGTTACTTGAGCCGATTCGAACATAGCAAGATTGCCTCGCGCGGCGTGCGGTTGCTGTCGGGACTGCAGCGCGAGCTCCAGAGTGAAAACATGAACAGCAAGAAGCGGGCACGACCTGCGGACAGTCTTGGAATCTCGTCGACATCTGGCAAGCGAGCCCGTAGATTTAATGTGGAGACCTTTATCAGCGACGTAGCCCAAGACTTGCAGGTAACAACTCCCACGTCATCATCGACCGAAGATGTTCCTATAAGCGTGGGACATACTTCATGGAACTCTTTCATGAACTTGCTACCGCCGCAAACAGGATTTGGGGGACAAAGCCTATTTGATGACTTGCTTTCATTTCAGTTTTGAAATCATATATACTTTAACGACATGTGGTTTCGCGCACCTACATCGCTCCTTTTCCGTATGTCTGCCACTGACTTCTTTGCTTTCTGTATGATCGTCTTCTCATCAATGTGCAACAACTTGCCGTCACTGACAAGCAACTGGCCATCTACAAGAACTGTATCGACATGGGAACCAGAGGAATGGATCAACACTGTGACCGGATCGATTCCACCGGAAGCCTGCTCATTTGGGTCCCAGGGCGCACAAGATACGCCTTTCGGCCCAACAACCACGATATCCGCTTTCTTCCCAACCTCCAAGCTTCCGATCTCATCTTCTAGTCCTAGCGCCCTTGCGCCGTTGATCGTCGCGAACTCCAAGACATCATACGCGCTGAGGACCCCAGCATTTTGTCTGACGCCGCCATGTAGAATGGACGCTAGATGCATCTCCCGAAACATGTCATACGTATTATTACACGGTGCGCCGTCGGTCCCCAGAGCTACGTTTACACCGCTGGCCACCATGTCTGGTATCGGTGCCACACCAGATCCAAGCTTGAGGTTACTTGTAGGGTTATGCGATACAGTACTTTTACTTTCGCGCAAGATATCGAAATCTCTAGCGGCTGGATCCGGATGTACGCAGTGGGCGAATACTGACTTCGGGCCCGTCAGCTGCGTATCTCGGCAGAATTCGAAAGGGCTGCATTGGTAATACTGTCGGTAAATGGGTAGGTCTTTAGGAGCTTCCGCGCAGTGCATAGTGAGACCGATGTCGTGTGCTCGCGCTGCTTCGCCGATCGTGGCATGGACCGCCATTGGTGAGCCTCGAGGTGTGCCCGCTGCAAACCACATGTGTAGACGGTCGTTGGAAGAGCCATGATACTTCTTGTGCGCTGATAGTGCAACTGCCACAGACATTGAGTCTACGTCCCGATCTCTGGCATCTTTCATGTTGAGATCTGAGTTCGTCTCGCCGACTTTGATCAATTTGCCCTAGTAGCTAGGTCAGCTCGTTGCATTGATCTTGCTTTGCGATACTTACCAAGCACGCACGAATGCCAGTTTCTTCTACTGCTCTGACGACGTTTTCAAGGCCGCTCCTATGCGTGAGCATAGCCTCAAGAAAACATGTCGTTCCCGTCTTCAACATCTCCGCAATCGTCAGCATTGAGGCTACATATCCATCGTCCTCGGCGTAGTTGGCCTCCAATGGCCAGATTGCATCACATAACCAGTTGTGCAACGGGAGATCTTCGGCTAGTCCACGGAGCAGTGATTGCGCAAGATGGGCGTGTGTGTTGACCAAGCCCGGTATGACGATCTTGTTCTTGCAGTCGACAATGTCAAGATTTACATACTCGTTCTGGTTGACTTGGTCGATGAGATCAGACGTCTTCCCGAGTGCTGTGATGCGGCCGCTTTCAACGAGAATTGCGCCATCGAGTATGATTTCCCGGTCCTTATTGACAGTGACAATGGTCGCATTCGTCAAGAGGCACAGCGGCGTTTGACTTGATCTTGCCATGTTCATTCGAAGTAGTGCTGATACCGCTGGCTAAGATCTACGAGGATGCTTAGGTGCGACGTTGGAGGGTTTTGTGAAAGTGTAGGTTCAAGTTTCTAGGAGATCTCATCCGTCCCTAATTTGGTCAATGAACTTGGGAATCTGGGCGAATGATTACTTCACGCGATTACTTTCAATATCCTATTTGCATAGTCGCGACTTCCCATAGGCGTGCGCTGACAGTCGCCTCCGCCGCTCTCCGCTTTCGCGCCTTCGCTAACGTGACAGGGGGCGGCCGACGCTAGCGATATCTCCCCTCTTATCTAGCTCACGTACTCTGTCACCCGTCGCATATCTCACGGCATACGCACAAGTATCATCGCAGTGTTATCAGGTACAAACAATAGCCGGATTCCGATGAGCTGGTTATCGCGGGGTTTACAGGCGCAGAAACGCCTATCGTGGGAAAGGCTCCTGCCGATCTAGAACCACGAGTCAACAATGGCTAATAGGTTGATATATGACCATGCAGCTCGATTTTGAAATGCATTTGCCGCGAGAACTCAGTCAGCATACTGGAATCCCACTGGGTTGAGTAGGAGTAATCATGGTCATCGACTCCCGGAGCGAGATGGAGCCGAAGTCCAAGTACGCTGAAGAAATGGGTCAATACTCGTCCGCCGAGAGTCAAGAGATAGGTACAGTGACCACAAAGTGGCAGGATACGCTCGCGAAGATCAAGCATGCTTTCACGACGAAAGATGGATGGATCGGCGACTACGTATGTCAATACTTAACCTACCCGACTATCTGCCATAGATAGCTGACAGCCCCAGGACTACGTCTACTTGATCACTCCCAACATCTGGCCCTTGAACAGAAAGTACAAAAACTACCAAGCGCCATTCTACGGACTCAACGACCGCGTACCTGTTCTATTGACACTACTCCTCGGCCTTCAGCATGCACTCACCATGATCGGATCCATTGTGTCACCACCACTCGCAATCGCTTCCGGGGCGTTCAAGTTCGACCCAGCTATGACGACGTACCTAGTCTCGACAGCCTTCATCACTACAGGCATTGCGACAGCCCTGCAAGTTACTCGGCTGCATATTATGAAGACGCCCTTCTTCATCGGCACAGGGCTCTTGAGCGTCGTGGGACCAACATTCGACATCCTACCCATCGTCTTCAACTACGCCGCTTTACGATATAAGTCCGGCTCTTGTCCAGTTCTTGAAGACGGTACCCAAGGGCCATGCCCTGACGCGTGGGGTGCATGCCTGGGCACTATGCTGTGCTGTGTCTGGATCCAGATAGCAATGGCTTTTGTACCGCCTAAGATGCTTAACAAGATCTTTCCCAAGCTCATCACTGGATCACTTCTGACCCTCATTGGAGTCTACCTCGTTGGTAACGGACTGCAGAACTGGGGTGGATCATCAAACTGCCACGGAGGAGACGGGTTCTACGCTCTGTGTCCGGATATCACTGCGCCACGACCGCTCGTATGGGGGCATCCGAAGCTGATCGGCTTAGGGTTCAGTGTGTTTGCTACTATCATCTTGGTCGAAGCCGTCGGTGCGCCACTCATGCGCTCAGCTTCAGTCATTATTGGTTTAGCTGTAGGATGTGCCATCTCAGGCGCAACAGGCTACTGGTCAACAGAACAGCTCAACCAAGCACCCGGTGGAACCTTTCTTTGGGTGCACACGTTCAAGCTCTCCGTTGATGGCGCGCTAGTACTACCCATGATTATCATGTTTGCTTGTCAAGCCGTGTCTTGCATTCCCGATATCTTGGCCACTGCAGAGCTATCAGGTGTTGACATCGAAGGAACAGAGTTCAACAGCAGGATCCAAGGCGGCATTTTGTGCGACGGACTCGGAAGCTTCTTCAGTGCATTGGCTACGGGCCCACCGATGGTCAGCCAGGCAGGCAACAACGGCGTTATTGTTCTCACCGGTTGTGCATCTCGCCGTGCAGGATGGGCAGCAAGTGGCTTCCTGATCCTCATGGGGGTCATTGCGAAGTTCGGTGCTGTCTTCGCTTCTATGCCGCCGTCTGTCCTCGGCGGTATGCAAGTCTTCCTTTACAGCACCATTGCTGTGGCCGGTATCCGTGTCCTCGCACTCATCCCATGGACCCGCCGTGATCGCTTCATCCTCGCAGTCTCCCTGGGCATTGGGTTCATGGATATATGTCAGCCCGACTGGTTTTCACAGGTTTTATCGTACGATGGGCCAAATGAGAATCTGGTAGGATTCGAGCAGGGCATCAACCTTGCTGTGGAGACTCCATTTGTCATTGCTGCTATTGTTGGTATATTCTTGAACGCTGTACTGCCGAAGGACAAAAGCGCGGCGCCGATGGTAGGATACGGTGATGAGCAGAAACATCCTAGGATAGGGCAACGTGAGGATTAGACATATATCACAGATATTAAGAGGCCTTTTCCTGAGTCATGGCGTGATGGTATTCTTTTTGTATTCGTCTTTATGTGATAGATCTTGTATGCATACGGCGGTGTCTCGGCACCGCTGCTGTCGCATAATGATTTTCATCGCTTATTGAAGCGAGGTCTTTCTCTGGAGACGATAACTTGCTACCTGCGGAGAGGACTTCCAGATTCCATCCAGCCACCAGCCTCGCTCTACCTTCTGCCTAACCAACCAGGCATCCAATATATGCCTTAACATCCCACTT